TTTTTTTCAACGTTTATTTATTTTTGGGACAGAGAGAGACAGAGCATGAACGGGGGAGGGGCAGAGAGAGAGGGAGACACAGAATCGGAAACAGGCTCCAGGCTCCGAGCCATCAGCCCAGAGCCCGACGCGGGGCTCGAACTCACGGACCTCGAGATCGTGACCTGAGCTGAAGTCGGACGCTTAACCGACTGCGCCACCCAGGCGCCCCAAAAACTTTTTCTTAAAGAAAATATCGACTTTTTAAACGGAGTCGACACTGAGAAAGAAGGACAGAAGCCAATTACAAACTCTGAGGGGGCCTGGGAGACTCTCGGAGGAGAAAGCGACGGCTGTAGGCCAATCATCTCAGAAAAGAATGAAAGACGGAACAATGAAGAGAAAACCTCAAGGTTAGACACGCCAAAAGACACGAGCAGTGAAGCAAAATCCAAACCAGGAGGTAGAGACAATACGAAACGTTCGTTTTCCCTATGAGTCTGCAGGTCACAACATCACAGAGAACCTCACCTGCGCCAACATCAAAGGTTCCCCTTCCAAGTGGGCTGTAGAAGAGGCACAAAATGACATCGGGCAGCAGGAAGAAGGCCAGAATTTCTGAGTTCAGGAAACCGGGGCCATTGTGGTGCCACGAGAGCCACATACATTCGTGGGCGGCGGAAGGATCTTCCCCTTAAAATTTCTCTTTAGTTGGTAGTCACCTCTGTCCAAACGAGACTTGTCTGGGGGGTCCTGGCAGCAAGAAAGCATCCTTCGCTTAGAATGAAATGGGAGACACGCGTTGGTGTGGCCAAAAGGGTTTTGTGACCGCTGGTGTTTTATATTCTTAAAGCTCCTTGAAGAGAAGGAGGAAGAGCCGGCCTTGGGTGAGCACCGTCTCCCCTTAATACAGGACACTAGCTGTCCCGGGGGGAAGGACACCGTGAGCCAGGCCCCCGCAAGCCGAGACCAGGAAATGGAAAATGCAAAGTCTGGCCTCGAACTCAGGTCCCAGCTCTGGAAACCGGTGGGGAATGGGGGCGGAAGAGGGACCAGCCTCCAGAAAGGAAACTCAATGCCTCCACTTTCTGGAGACTGCAAACCAACTGCCAAGAGACTAGTCTTCAGGGTGTGGGCCTTTCTGCGACACCCGTGGTCTGGACACTACCTATTCGAGAACACAAGCACTAAGTGCCGAACGTGCGGGAAGCATCCGCCAGGCAGCGGTAAATCCCAGCCACTGAATAACCACCTCGGAGGGGCCTCCCGTTCCTCGGGTCTCCACCCAGTTACGAACTCAAGTGTGCGGGGACCATCCTTCCTCTGAGATGATCGTCTCCCCGCTGACGAAACTTCAGCTTCTGGCCCCCGTGGGGAAAACGTGTCACGGGAAGGGGCACAGAAGGCCTGAGGGTGTCTTACTCCGTGTGAAGGAGGGAACTGCATTTTAGATTTTCACCCTTAGACATGCCTGGGTGGCTCGGTCGGTTGAGCGTCCGACTTCGGCTCAGGTCACGATCTCACCGTTCCTGAGTTCGAGCCCCACGTGGGGCTCTGTGCGAACAGCTCAGAGCCCAGAGCCTGCTTCGGATTCTGTGTCTCCCTCTCTCTCTGACCCTCCCCGGCTCGTGCTCTGTCTCTGTCTCTCAAAAAATAAATAGATGTTAAAAACATTTTAGACTTCCAACCTTAGAAAAATCTGCATTCCGGGTATGAGGATGCCCTCAGCCAGGAGCTCGGAGCTGAGGCTCCACATCTTTCGACGGGCAGTCGGGAAGGTGCAACACACGGCCGCATGAGATGGGGAAAGGCTCCGAGGAGCTTTGCTCCTCATCTGGGGCCCTGGGGCCAGTGAATGACCGTGCTGGACCATCCCCTTCTCCCCAGCACCCACCCCCCAAAGTCTGCCTGGGGTGTCTCTTGCACCCTGGTCCCCTGGCCAGTGATCCCCGGGAGTGAAGGCCCCTGACCCCTCTTCTCAGGAGGCGAGAGAACAGTCCACTTTCAAAGACAGGAAGAGCCTGAGAAACAGGAAGACGTCAGCAAGGCCCCGTAGCAGGCAGGGTTTATTCCAGCAGGCAGCGAGCTAGAAAAGAGGCCGTCCCCGCCAGGGTCTCCGCAGGAGAAGATGGCCTGAAGTGGTCACACGGCCCCTCTCCAGGCCCCCCATCAGCCTGACAGTCTGTCTTTTGGGGTTAATTGTGGTAGCCGGGCCCCCTCAGGGCCCAGTTAATTTCCTTTCCCTCCAGAGATTCATTCTTAAAAATCTGAGATTGACCTAAATTGTTTTGAACCAAAAGGAACTTGAAATTGAACTAGGTTAATTGAAAAAAAAAAAATAATAATGGTCTGGCTCCATTAGGGGTCCCCCCCCCACCTTGGAAAACCCCACTGATTTAAAGGACATCGGTCAATAGACCCGAACGTGCGTTAATGTTGTTTATCAGCTCGAGCTTTCAACGAACTGGGTCAACGCCTTCCTCAGTGTTCGCTCTGGGGAGAACACCCATAAATGATGATTGGAATCCTTTTGTAATTATAGTCATGGAAGACGCCAGCTGTAGAATAATTTTATTCAATTCGTGGGTGTTAAGCACTCATTAAGTGGCTGGTATTCCGCTAAAGAGCCACCGTGGTAACTAGCAGCGGGGGTGAAGGGGGACAGGCCAGCGCAGGCAGCTTGGGCCCGCCACGGGGACACCTCTCGGGGTGACTTCGCACAAGGGGTGCCACGTGTACAGACCGTGGGTCCAAAACCAGGGGCAACGTGCGGATTCCCACCAGCGGGATGGCCGAACGCAGCCCGCTGGGCTGCGGCTTTTCCGCGGCGTCAAAGGAGAAAGGCAAACCCCCGTGCACCCGGTAGGAGCTGGGGCGACGCAGTGTCCCCGAAGGGAGGGGACAGAAAACGTCGTGCGTTTTTCACTCCAAACCCACTCCGGGCATCAGAACCTATTTGCGAGTAGGGGGCCGGGAGGAGTGGGGACGGTGACAGCGCTGTCCGGAAGGGAGCAGAAGACAGAGAGGACCCTCAGGGGTTTGCACCCATCCCCGGGGGAAGCAGCCGCCGCCGTGGGCCGTGAGGACCGAATTTCAAGCCCCAGCCCCACCACCTTCTACTTGGTCGTGAGCAATCACTTACTCCCCCTGGGCCTCCAATTCCCAGCCTTCGCAATGGAGATGAACAATACAGTTCTCTCCCGAGCGAGACGTGGCCAAAGTGCTTCTCCCATGGAAGCCTCCGCATGTGACATCACCAAGCGCTCAGCCAGAGGCCACTCTCCAGTCTGGGAGGGCCCGGGAGGGGGGCTGGCGTCCTGGGTGCGGCTAAGGGGTGCTCCCTGCCTCCAGCCTCCCAACAGCCTCGGGGTGGGGAGCACCCCCTCTCACGATCCCCGGGCGCCGAGCCCCCTCCCACGTCCCACCCCATTCCCTGAGGAACAAACGTCCCGAGCCGCTCGCTTCCCTGGGCACACGTGTGCGGAGTGGAAAAGAAAAACATCTGATAGGGTTTGGTGCCTACAGCAAGTCAGGCTGTATTTCCTGAGAAACGGAGAAGAAAAAAAAAAAAAAAAAAAAAA